TGCGCCGGACAAAGATCTCCTGGTGGGAAAGGAAGCTGCTGTGAGCATTATAATCTGGCACTCCCACAAGACCGAGCGTGCTGGGAGCTGTACTTTGGCGGTGGAGGCCACTGCTATGTCCGAGGGTTGGCTGAGGCCGAGTGAGTTACCTCGTGGCTTTTTAACAGAAAGATGACCGATGCGGGCTCCGAGATCGACGCACTATGAACCGAGAAATCCGAGTGACGATTATCATGGAGCAAAGTCCCGACCTGGACCTTATCACCACGACCGACGCGAAATCTTTGCGCGACTGTATCAATCGGGAACACTTCGCCTCGACTGAGAAGCGAGCCGCCTTAAAGACTGCAGTGGTGCGGGATTCCTAGGAGAACCTCGGTGGTCAGTGTCGCTGGTTCCCACGCGAACTGAACCCGACGGATGGCTCGACGAAGTCCAAAGGGAACGTGCAACCCCTACTGCAGCTAATGCAGACGGCCCAATTTCGCACTACTGAGGAAAGGAGGATGGAGACAGGGAGCCGCGCATCGATTGGCCACCGGGAAACGCAATCCGAGACCGAACATGTCGAAACAGACTCCCCCGTCGAACACAACATCCTCTCGTGTGTCTCCGGAACGCCCTATCTCTTCTACCCCGCTTGCTGCAGACTCACCTCTTTCGATGCGCGATTTTCTGTATTGCCCTTCTCGCCCAGTGGATGTGTCAGCGCGTTGTCACGATCTGCCGCCTTCTACAGCGCGCGTTGGGCATCGTGGCTTTTTTTTTGCGTGCGTTTTTTTTTTTTCTTTTCCTGCCTGCGGGGCCGCGCCGCCCAAGGGCCCATCGCTTGGGTCCCTGGTGCATCTGCTCGACGACCTGCCCGTCTCCGGAGGAGAACAGGGTGGCCCAGCCGACTCCGACGGCGACATCACGGGCGACGCGTTCTACGACTGCGAGGACCACGATGACAAGATGGGCGGCGGCTCAGGTGGTTCAGCGGCTGCGTCGGCTGATGGCCCCTGGGTTGTTCCCCGCAGCGCGGTGCCAGCGGCGCCTCTTGAAGATTGCCCCTGCGCGTCTCTCTATCGCGACCTTCAAGGAGAACAAGGAGCAGGCGAGGTGCGCGAGAGCAACCGAGAATTCCATCAGAGACCCTGGTGGAGACTCGCCCCGGCTCGGACTACCAAGATCCCGCGGCCGTGGGCGGCGCGGGAACTGCGGAGGTCGACGAGGAGCTGCGCGACGAGCAGCGCAGGGCCACCGACATGCACAGTCCGCACTCCTTGGAACGCTTCGAATTTAGAGGCCGAGGCTCATCGCACGCGACGGCGGCGACAGCGATGTCGCGAAAGACATGGACAGGGGGGGTGCCGACAAGGAGCAGCGCCCCCGCGTCACCGTCTACCTCGCTGACCACACAGCCCAGGAGACAGCCGAGGAGACAGCCGCACCACCGAGAAGAACATGCCACTCCTCCCGAGGCCTGTGTACGTCGGGGCCGTCGGCGTCTACGTCCTGTTCCCCGAGGATAACAACAACGTCAACGTCCTGGTCTGGTCAACGTGAGGTACTCGAATACGGTCGCCACTTCAGGAGGACAAGTCGATCGGACCGATCTGAATGTTGCTTGTATTCGAGACCCAGACTTCGATTACGCTGCCAGGTGCGCGGCAAATCGGGAGCTTGGCGAAGAATCTGGACCGCACAGCCCTCTGAACGACCTGGTGGAGATTCCCAGCGACATGACATCGATCCCACCTCGCAAGAACTTCGGGTACGTCTACTTGGTGCCACCCGAGGTGAAAGGGCCGCAGTATCGCTCTCGTGGTGAGGTCGTATAGCAGGGTGTCCAGGACTTGGGATCCCCTGCCGGAGGTCACGACCATGCTTGGGCCACCGTGAACGACCTCATCGCGCTACCACACCTTCTACCAGCACGCAAGCAGACACTGGACTACATCGCGAGGGTGGAGAAGGAGAGGATCCTGCAGATGGAGCAAGGCATGGCGAAGCAGGCGGAGGTGACGAAGGACGAGCCATCCTCCGAACTCGAAAGGAACGGAGACGCTGGCTTACCGATGATGCGATCTACTACCTGCTACCAAGGAGCCGCGCTCAGCCGATCGCCCAGGATCCGAGCTTCAACGCAACCTTTAACGACCCCGCGTCGGAGACGATGGCCGTGCACCGTCAGTGCCCGAGACAGCCCGCTTCCCGTGTTTGGCTGAAGTTCTTGACGCAAATGCCATTCGACATCGCTTTGGGTCTGATTGTGTCGTGCAAGACGCTTGAGTGCGAAATCGTGCTAGACTACCTGAAGACGGGGGACGAGAGTGGTGACTACGAGGCCCTCTACGCGTATTTCCAGGTGTGCCCGGACACCGAGCTCCACGACCCCCCCGATCGTCACCCGGCGTCAGATCTCGTCGTTGCGCCAGTAAGAGATCTGCCTTGCTGGGTACTGGCAGCGCTGGCCATCGCTCCCAGCATGAATTGCGACGAACTTCCGAAGGTCAGTAGAAACCTAAGGCATCCTCCTCAGGAGAAGAAGCAGTTGGCGGTCGACTGCCGGGGGGAGCCGACAAAAGAATGCGAGGGGGCCATCGAGGACATCGTGGACCAGATTAACGTCCCCGACGAGGCAGACGGAGGAGAAGAAATCGCACGCAAGCTGGAGAACCTCGGCGAGTTGAGCGGCGCTGTGGGGGCCCTCAAAGGCTTCGTCGATAATCTTCCACCAATGGGCAGATCCGTCTCCAAGGCCATGAAGGCTGCAGTCACTATTGACCTCCAGCAGAGGAGGGTGAGGTACTTCTTGGACCTGTAGGAAAAAGACATCAGTACCCACTGGAGAAAGGCTTACAAGCTGTCCAGGAAGAACAAAGGGGTCTTCAAACAGATGATGAGCGACCACTGGAAGACGGGCCACCAGGTCGACGCGACGAGGGGCCACCTTTTCGACGCCCTCCTTTACTACGTTTTTGTTTGGCCACGTTGGTTCTGGAAGCTCAATTTGGGATGCCCTAGTCGCCAGGAGATCCCGCTTTGCCCGCGGGCACCTGCCAGGACTCACCAATGGCCCCCGTGCAAAGGGGCCAAGCGCGCATCCAACTGGACAGCGGTGGGCGATGGATGGGGCGCCGACATGCGAGAGGGGAATGCAGCGCGGCAAGGAGCCAAACGAGAAGGAGGCCCAGATCGAGATTGCCTTCCATGGTGCCAACTTGACAGCGCTGGCATCTATCTGGAGCAGGGGGGGCCTGTTCGAACCGAAGTCAGGACCTTCGAGCTGTGAAAACCCCCTGCGGCATCTTCTGCGAAAGGACAACTCGCCGTACCTCTTGCGCCCACTTCGTGGTGCATGTGTCGTCTGACGTCAGCCCTGAGATGAACCTCTACTCTTGCACCTTCGAGCTGCAGGTGGATCGCAACCGTGGCGCGCGCTATCCCAATATGCATGTCCGTGGACAGTGGTGCCAGACCGAGGGCAGCGTCTACGCCACTGCGTTCTGAATCCACACTACGCTGATGAGGGAGATCTGGGACAAGCTACAGGCGAAGGAGCAAGTCTTTGGATGGCACAGGATCTGGAATCGCACGGGCAGGATGTACCTCGTGCCAACAGGCCATCCCGACAGCGTCTCCGAGTGTACACGCGCATTCAGATGAAGCGATCGAGGATTCCGATTCCCCGACTCGAAGTCAGGCTGGTTTCCAAGGACGAGAGATGAGTTCCTCTGTGGACCAAGGAGCTCAGTGCGGCAGACCGTTTTCTGGAGCGCTCTGGCAAACCGTACGAACAACGCGGAATCGAGCCACAGAGTTTCATGGATCAGATGGGGCAGGCTACGGACGCAGCGAAGTCGGAAAACCTCATCACGGACCCCGGGTCGGACAATCTGTTCAATAATCTTTCTTCGAGATGTTCTCAAGTTCTACGTTCTCGTGGAGCTGTGCCAGCTGCACGTCGCTGAGGCTCTGGTAGTACGCGGAACGGCTGCGGTATACATTGAGAGAAGAACTTCACTTTCTGATGCGAGGCGGCGTTTCGGCTGCAAGAAAGGTAGGAGCTGTGGTTGCTGAGCTCCTGTCAGCCTCTCCTCCTCCTGCGCCTCTCTCAGTACTCCCTTGTGCGCCGCCATATCGGCTCACAACGGCCCTTGAGCTATCATGGCGCGCCGGTGACGGACGCGCCCACGCTTCCGTAAAAGGAAAGAGAACGTGTTCCCTTCTACCACGGGTTCCCCTATTTGTACCTCGTGTCTCTCTGCTGTCACCCCCGTACAGTACACAGTGCGCAATATGAATTTCCCCGCGTACCGGCTGTTGCTGTCTGGCGCTCAGTGCCCTCACATCGACATTGGTCAAAAAACAGGCAACATCGTTCCCTCTTGTTCGTCGGTCTTGCCAGGATCTGTCCGATCGCATGCTCAGGCCCTGGCAGGTTTTGTTTTCTGGCCTCAAGGGGCCAGACCACCACGGTCCAACATCGGCGGCGAGGTGCTGGCGGAGGAAGAGGAACCTGGAGGTATAGGGGCGGGGCGATGCAGTCCATGCTACGTGATTCATCGCGCAGTCCATACCAGCAGCAGTCCATGCCAGAGGCTTCGCATGGGAAGGGGCCTTGGCGCTAAAGTTTGGAATTCAAAGAAAGAGCCCAGAGGGCGCCAGCTGGGAGAGCACCTGTGGCGTGTGACGCTGTGCTTGAGGGCGTGCGGGGAAAACGACGGGGGAGATTGGACGGGGAGGAACGTGAGGACAAGAGGTAAACGTGCTTCCCCGCTACAAGTGGGGGGGGGGTCGGTCAGGGGACGGTTGGGGGGAGCGGCGTGTGACGAGGGGGTCATGCTCCTCGGACAAATTGCACATAGTGATTGCTGGTCGTCCCTCGCTGGTCCGGGCGATTGCCATCGACTCGTGCTTGATTTCCCCGGTCTTGATTGGCACCGTCTTCTGCCGCCGTTTCCTCGGTTTAGTCCTGGCGCCCGTCTCCTGCGCATAGCGGGTGAGCCAGCCAGGCAGTTGGAGGAACAGCCGTACATTGACATCTTCTTGTCGCACACATGGAGCTCAAACGCGTACCTGAAGTACCGCACATATTCTGGCTTCTTTTTTTCTGAGGGTAAGAGTATCGTTGTGGGCCCTCGATGTTGTGGCCATGGTCAATGTATCGAATGTGGTCTTGAGCTGACACGCAGGTCATGGTCTGCCAGAGTCGGGGTTTCTTGGAGCGCATCGCCTCGCAATCGCTAGTATCCTAAGCTACAACAGCACACGCCATGACGCTGGCAGGTGAGCGGTGTTCGCTTTGTTGGCGCTATGGCGTGCGTCCATGGTGGTCAAGGCGGCACCCGGGTCAGGAATACAGCCCTCCGACCAGCTTGCAGCACATCCCTATCCGTATGTCTGGCATCACCTCACCTCGGTGTCGATCGTGAGGATCCCCTCGGTGTCTGAGGGCACACCCCTAGGACTGTACCACCTCGGGCTTGCCGATCTGAGGGATCAGAATAGGTTCGAGGCTGGTTACGGCAGCTTTGCGTCGTGTCGACCAGCGACGACCCGGTCAGTTGCGTTCGTCTTTGAACGCCGCGGGCGACCCAGAATCGTTCGATGTGGAACGATTTGGACGTTCCAGAAACGGCCGATGCTTCAAGGCTGAACGATCCCCGCGGTGTCAGAAACCAACCGCTGAAGTCGGCACGACACGAACCTGACGTAATGGAGGATGACGATTAATAAGTGACCGGGGGTCGTGTTCACGCGGCGGCGCCCGGGATGACGATTAGAAAAAACCGGCCGCGGGCTGGAAAACTACTTTTTAAAAATCGTTCTCCTCCAGTCAGAAAATTGTGCAGAGATAGCAGAAAGCCATTGTTTTAATCGTTCTCTCTCCCTTTTTTTATTATTCATCGTCATCCCGCAGTATCGTCGTCCCTCCTCCGGGGGCCTGTGGGCACCGGGGGGGGGGGGGGGGGGGGACACGGCGACCCCCCTTCTGGTCCCTTCGCGGCGCGCGGGAGCGCGCCCCCCCCGAAGGCGGCCACGAGACCTCGTGGCCCGTCACCCGCGGCCTCGCAGCCCGATGTCGGCGACTCCGAACAGCGGCGAGCGAGGGGGGGGAGCCCCCAACAGCGACTCCGCGAAGAAGTCGGAGGTGGACAGAACCCCCAACAGTGACACGTCGATCAGTGAATTGTCCGTTCTCCCGTTCTCGAGGGGGGCGCCGTGGCCGTCATGTTCCAGGCCTGCGCCCGCCAGGTTTGGGCCTCGGGTCGTTTTCACTAAACCACGTTTTGCTAAAGGGGGGTCTGTCCAACCCCGAAGAAGATGCTGCTAGAACATAGAACAGACGTCTTAAAGCAAGGCAGTCTCAGCCAGGAAGGCTCCAATGACACGTCTCGTGCAGACCACCAGAGGTTCTGAGAACATTCTTCGGGGTGGGCCTGCAGGCAGGCCGCGGGAGGCCTCGCCACTGCTCGAGGATCGCCGACCGGGGCATCTCGGCTCGACTCCCAGGTCAACCGAGCTTTCGGTCAGCGCGTTCCTGGATGCCGAGGCTCAGCGCCGAGCGCGGGGGGGAAGTGAGCATGGAGATGTCCTTCTCAGAAGGCGGCGGGACTTCCCAGAAGCCCCTCGCGCCTTCCGAGAGGTTTTTCTGCGCGTCGTCCTCGGAAGGCCGGGGGGACTTCCGAGCTTTCTGAGAAGGCCTTCTTCTTCTTCTCGTTTCCCCCCCTCGCTCGCCGCCAATTCAAGGGGCACGGTTTTGCGCCGGGGTGTGGTTTGCGATCGGCATCGTTGGGGCCCGGGGGGCACGACGCCGTCCTCGTCGGGCCGCCTCGGGGTACGCGGCGGGGAGCCCCGTCGAGGTCCAGGGGTCGACCTAAGCGATGGTTTGGCGATTGAGTGGGCCACGTGGTGGGTGCTGCTTTCGGTGGAGCTCGATATGTGGCCGCGATCTTCGTGAGGGGCGTGTCGGAATGGGCGCGGTGGTGCCATGCCAGCGCAGCCACTGGGGCCCTCGGTGGAACTCCGTATGGGGCCACGATCTTCGTGAGGGGCACGCCGAAATGTGTGCGGTGGTGCCATGCGGGCGCAGATACTGGGGCACTGGGGCCCTTTGTGGAGCTCCCTATGGGGCCACGAAATTCGAGGGGTGTGCCGAAATGGGCGCGGTGGCGGCATGCGAGCGTAGCCGCGCTGGCATTCGGGCCTTCGGTCGAGCTCCCTATGGGGCCACAATGCTTGTGAGAGGTGTGCCGAAATGGGCGCGTTGGTGCCATGAGAGCGCAGCCGCTGGGGCCTTCGGTGGAGCTCCCTATGGGGCCACGAAGCGTGTGACGGGTGTACCAAAATTGGCGCTTTGGTGCCATGCGAGTGCTGGCATGTGGGCCTCGGTAGAGCCCAAATGGGGCCGCGAAACGTGGGAGGGGTGTGCCGAAATAAGCGCGTTGGTGCCATGCGAGCGCTGGCATTTGGGCCTTCGGTGGAGCTTCCTATGGGACCACGAAACGTGTG